TAAAAAAAAAAAAAAAAAAAATGAGGGAGCTCATCAGAAGGAACAGTATATCAGCAAACACAAGCACTCTTATTATTATATTTCCAATGGAAAACAAGAGCAAGGAAAAAAGCCAAAGGATTTATCTTAACTTTCTGGTTTGTTTAGCGATATCAGTTTTGATAAGTGTCTGGATTTTGTGTCGTGGGCTACAGAAACTAACACTAAAGTAAAGTGTTGTTACTTGGAAATGATAAACCATCTTGTCTAGTCGCATTGGTGTAAACTGGCAGGTTTCACATCTTGTCTACACCAGATAAGAATGGCGCGACACGTCGTATCAAAAGCAAATAGGACCCATTAATGTCAGTGATACTGGCTGCGTCTGAAAGCATATGCAGCTGATTTGTTGCCTTGCTGCCCTATCAGGCAATGACTTCGCAGGCAGCATTTGTGCACCTTCCCAAACTGATTTCAGACAGACTTCTGAGGCAGCATAAAAGTTTAGTGATCTACAACAAAATAGAGAAAGCTTTGGTGATAACTACGCAAATATTTAATTTAATTACCACAATGCTAATTTCTTGCTAGAAATGACATCAAAAGTGGAAAAAGTGACCACCAAACACAACTTTCAGACGCCATCATTGTCACAGAAAATGCACAGCATAGTGAGATATCAAAGTCAGTGAAGGATACATCAATGCTGCCTTCAAGTTGATCAGATGAAGTATCACAGCTGACAAGGTGACACAATCATTGGATGTGCCTTGTTGTCTTGCCAGTTGCCACCTTAGTATGTTGCCTGCGGGGGCAGTATTTTTCCGCTTTTGGAAACGGCCACTGTCTGCACTATTCACATCCAAGTGATTGCTCTGCTTCCAACAACAATTTTGTAACATTTTCTTTGATGCAGTGTAGTGTAGATAGCTGGGGTTACAATGTTGCAGACCATATTCTTCTGTAAATACACTGAACAAAATTATAAACGCAACACTTTTGTTTTTGCCCCCATTTTTCATGAGCCGAACTCAAAGATCTAAGACTTTTTCTATGTACACAAAAGGCCTATTTCTCTCAAATATTGTTCACAAATCTGTGTTAGTGAACCTGTGCAATAATCATGTTGTCTAATCAGCATCTTGATATGCCACACCCGTGAGGTGTATGGATTTTCTCGGCAAAGGAGAAGTGCTCACTAACACAGATTTAGACAGATTTGTGAACAATATTTGAGAGAAATAGGCCTTTTGTGTACATAGAAAAAGTCTTAGATCTTTGAGTTCAGCTCATGAAAAATGGGGGCAAAAACAAAAGTGTTGCGTTTATAATTTTGTTCAGTGTACTTGCAAGTTTCTACTTGTCATGTCGTGAATCTTTGGTGTGAACTTAAAATAAAAAAAAACAACCCCAGAATCACCTCAACACCCTTTTTTTTAAATATTGCATTTTGAGTAATATTGTTTTAGAAATACATTTTCTTCAATGCTCTTCTTTCATTCTAATATTTCTTTTTTAATTTCCTCTTTCTCTTCAGTGACCCTGGACATGGTGCGTTTGTAGCATTCAGTAAATTGTTAATGGCTTGGGAGTAGATGCTCTTACTGGAACACTTAAGTGAAGACTCTTCAGGCCACTCAAGGGCACTCTTGCAACAGTTCGCTGTATGGATCAGAGCGCAGCAATGATGAAGTATTTTTGTAGGCCAACCCATTCCCTAGACAAAAACACAACAGGCTTTTGGATTATTGCAGAAATTATGAAGTAAAAAGCTAAACATGGTCACATGTCACCAATATTACATACCACAAAGTTTATTTAAGACATTTTCCCTGAAAGTTTGAGTTTTAATAGTATGCAATAGCATGATTATAAACACAATGAGGCTGTGAAATTGGGTAGTGAGTAGATGAGTTTACCTGTTCAGTTTGAAGACATTTAATGTCCCAGACAACCTCTGTAGTTCCATTAAGTTACTTGTTAGCGACCGCCTTTATCAAGACAAGCAAAAGCATTAAAAACACTAAGGGTTTTACTGATGCATTTTATGCCATAGAATAAAACGTGACAATATCTTAGGCTTGTGTTCACCACTTCAGGCATTTAACCAAAAACCCATTAAAAAACAAAACAAATTGACTTCAGGACGATGGAACCGGAGGTGCTAAAATGCTAACTTTTTCCAGGTTTGACCTACAAAAACACATCATGCCTGCAGGACTACTTGAATATAGTGTAACTCTACTAGTAGAACAATAACTGGCAAACAGGTGACCTTATATGTTACCATAAAGGTAAAAAGGGTAATTACTGCGCCACCAGTGACACCAAATGTAATAGCAAAAATGATGACTGTTTTCAACCAAAAGCAATTAATCTCACCCCAAAATTTTGCCATTGGATGGACATGGTAGCAGTGTTTTGAAAGTGGCATCAATATGAATGTATTAGCTACTTGGTGTCTCTGCTTATTAATAAGTTGTAATTTTTACCAAGAAATCACACATGTGATCATGTGATTCATATGAAAATGTATGATTTTTAGAAAATAAGTAGCATGAAGGTACACCCTAACCCTAACCTCAATGGGGCATAAGCAGATCGTACAAAAATTTTCAAATTAGCCACCAATTCTGCATGTATGTAGATGTAAATGTAAATATATAGTTACGCATTGCCATGAGACTGTGTTGGAATCTGCACTTTTTCATATTTATTTATGACTGTTGGGCAAATTCTGTATTTAAAATTTATACTAAAATATCAGCAGAGCTGAGATAGGCAGACTCATATCTGTATAGGTTAAACAGATCAAATTATCCAAAATATTTCCATACAAGGAACAGGTATGTGTAAGAGAGTGACGATGGGTGATCAAATTCTGTGGAATTCTGTTGACACGCATTCCATGCATGTCTGCTTATTGCCAATATCCGTTAATGCAAATGAATGATACACTCTATTGAACATGGATAAAGAGGACATTTAAACAGCCATCTGAGGTAAAAACCAGTCACCTCTGCTGCATTCTACTATTCAGGATTAGGTTCAAAATATTCACAAGAGGCCAGGTGTGTTCTCCAGATGCACTTATCAAAAGATTTTCCCTGTTTATTGAAGGATGTGTTCTGATGTTTCAGGAAAGAGACTGGACCAATACATGACACTCTTATACCCCATTCATGGAAATTAAGATGATTTTTTTTTAATCAAACATGTTTACCCACAGACTTCTCAAAGAGAAATGATAATGCTCATGTTACCAAATGTAACACACGTCTTTTTTTGCCTTTTTTGGCTATTTTTGTCACTGAACTTCCTCTTACAAAGAAAGCAAATCACATTCATATGCATTAAGATAAGGAAATAAACAATGATCACATGAATTACAGGGAGCTGTTTTGCATTTTCATAACACTTTTTGGTGCTTGTGAACTTCCTTCTTCCTTGTAGATGTAAACAGATAAATATATTGTCAAAAAGGGAGGGAAGGACAGAGAGAGAGAGAGAGATGGAAATTTATACATAATTTGACATTGAATGATGACATACACAATCTCCCCAGATTTATAGTCATACTCTACATCCTTTTGTAAATACTGGACATAAGTCATTATATGTAAAATTGTTCATGTCACAACATTTTAAATTGTTATATTTATATAACAGAGTTTCATACTCTCTCACTGCAACAGGCTTTCAGCAGTAAAAGCAAAAATAACATGAACAAATGTTTTTACCCACATGCAGTATATTCAGGTGGGTCGTCATCCTTTCCATCAGGTAGACATAGATAAACAGTTCTTTGAAAAGCAGTAGTTATAATAATACAATTTAATAAAGTAACAAATTGCACAGAACGTTTTGTGTTGAATGTAAAGGTGTGCCTAAGTAATGGATTAAATGGATTGTAGTTTCAGATGCCAGTTAAAACACTGCCACCAGTCACAAATATAATCAAAACAGAAACTATTTCACAGAAACATTTTATTTCATGACAACAGTAGTTTTCCCAGCTTGTTAACATGTTAACAAAACATATTTTTTAATAATTATGATGCATGCAGTATATAGCTCATATTAATTGAGAAACTATTTGTATATTTTAAAACAGGATCAGTGTTGGGGGTAACGCATTACAAGTAACGCGAGTTACGTAATCAGATTACTTTTTTTCAAGTAACTAGTAAAGTAACGCATTACTTTTTTAATTTACAAGAAGTTACTTCTGGAGTTACTTTTTCAAAAAAGTAATGCCAGTTACTTTGTTTTCCCATTTATTGACTGACAAGTCTCCTGTCCCCATATTGGGAGAAATCGGGAGTACAGAGGCGTTGTGTGCGCTGTGTGAACATGATGTTACTGTAGTTCTAGACTAAATGTGAATGTGCATTAATTCATCCCACTCACAAAAAACAGATTTAGTATTCATCAAAATGAATTAAAACAGTGAAATGCAAACTCAGAATATGACGCAAACCTGCAATAATTAAATGTTAAATAACACCCATACTAATAAGCAAAAATGAAACTAACAATTGTGCTTCATTGTTTTTTTATTGCTGAAGAGTGTTTCTTCTCCTGTGTTCTACTGTACAGACGTGAATTTACTTTTGCTTCAGCCTGAGGTTTATTCATTACTTTAATAAATATAACTTCTTATATTAAAAACAATCAAGCCCTGCTCATATTTAAAAAGTAACGCAAAATGAATGTAACGCATTACTTTTTTTCATAAAAAGTAACTAAGTAACGTAATTAGTTACTTTTTTAGGGAGTAACGCAATATTGTAATGCATTACTTTTAAAAGTAACTTTCCTCAACACTGAACAGGATTGCAAAACATTGGATGCAGGATTGTTTAAACCATACAAGTTATAATGAAATAAAAAAAGTGAACACATAAGAAATGTGTATCCCCCTTTATTACATTATATGTTTATAAAAAATTATGAAGGTTGTGTTTGTCAGTTACTAATTATGGTGCCACTGGTTGCATGGGAAATGTCTCTGTATGTATACTAACACACTATTTATTTTATTTTTTTCGCAGCTTCCAAAATATTTTAGCGATTTTTTTTATTACTTACTGTGGTTCTGTTATTATTGTCATTATTATTGTCATTTTCAATTGTATTCATTATTTTACCTTTAATTATAACATTTTAATTAGTGAGGGTATTGCCACTAATTAAAGCCACATCAATCTTTTTATTTTTTTTTTTGTATTTATTCAATTTTATTACAGTTTTTTTTATTATTACTGTTTAAGGGACAAAGAGCAAGAAGTTCTTTTTTTTTTTTTTCCCCATTGCATTTGCCAATACAACATTGAGAACTTATTTCCTGTTCACATTAATGATTAATGCACTGGCAGGATATAAACATGTTGCAAGTTGCTACTTGGACACCATGAACTACACACACCAAGCTATGTTAAAGCAGTTAATTTGGTAACACTTTACTTAAAGCCTTTATATATAATGCATTAAAAGTAGTTTTAATTATGTCTTGTAATGCACTTTAAAATGAATTGTATGAACACGTGAATAATTATTTCCACAGTTATAATACATTACATTACTTAAAAACTCATTGTTACATCTTTAGAAAGTATAATCCATTAAAACACATGACAAACATTACAATGCATTTTAAATTTGGTTACAATTATTTTTCTGAAAAACAATGCATTACAATTTACATTATTAATACCTTTAATGTATTATACATAAAGGCTTTAAGTGTTATTGCTGATTTTATGAAATTTTTAGAACTGAAAAATAAGAACAACAAAAGCTTAAAATATAATGTCTATGGAACATCTTTGCAAACAGATGCTATAATTAAAAATCTGCTAAGACTGTCTCCTTTAAAGAGAAAACATGAAACCCATACTCACTGACAGTGTCTTTGAATTTGTTCACATTAATATAGATATTAGAAGACATACAATTGGGTTGTGATAACACAAATACGTATATGCTCATTTGAAAACAGTGGATAAAACATCATAATCATTATATATTATAATAATAACTTTCATCATTATGTTGAATTGACACATCTAAAGCCTCAACTGTTTTGTGATATTCATTGTATAATATACACCATTATGTCAAATCTTTGACATACTTTGACACACTTTGACACACACAAATGCAAATCATAACAACTTAGTGCAAAGAATTTGCTCTTCTCTGGTTTGAGAGCAGATGTTTGAACAATGAGATGACCCAAGTCAATTTTGCATAAAAGGAAAGTTGTGAGATGTCCTTTGTACATTCAAATCATCAAAATCAACAAGCTCAGTTACACAGCAGAACCAACCTGATATGAAACATGTAACATTGAAGCACAATTAAATATGATGTCCAGTACTGTGGTTAGTTTCAAAAACTGCAATGCGTCACAGAGTCAAATCACAGTGCTTGACGCAAGTGTGTGTGTGTGTATATATATATATATATATATATA